AAGGTTTGGAGTTCAAGTGACTTGTTGAAGAGCAAAGCAATAGCAGGGGCTAAAGATCTGGAGGCTTTTTTGTAAATTAAAGTTGGTATCTCCTCAAGGGCACCAGACTTGGTTTTAAGGGAAAGGATTATCTCATTGACGTCAGTGGAATTAATAGGCTTTAGGTACAGAGACTGTGGATAGTTACCTGTAAGATAGTCCTTAATGTCAGTACTGGAAGATGGAATGTCATTTGCAAGGGATGAACCAATGGAAGAGAAGAACCTATTGAACTCAATAGCAGAATCAGAGGCTGAAAGCTGACCATCGTTATTAGACAGGAGAGTCGGTTTGTTATTTAAAGACTTCTTTGATCCCAATATTTGTGAAATTGTTCTCCAAGTTTGTTTAATATTGCTCTTTATTTGGGTAAATTTATCTTCGTAGTATTTAGTTTTGGCTCGTCTAATTAGCTTAGATAGCAATAATGAGTAATTCTTTGAGACTTCATTGGAGACAATTCCTAACCTATACTTCTTCTCAAGGTCATAAGGTCATGTTTTTTATTAATAGATTTAAGTATTCCCTTTGTAAGCCAGGGATTGTTAAGCCTTTTGGTTGTGACTTGTTTTGTAAGCATAGGGCAGTGGGTATTATAAAGGCTAAGAGTTTTTTGAAGAAAAGATTGCACTGATAGGTTGATGTCCTCTATGTTACCTAACTCGGACTCCCAGTTGACATTATCAGCAGCAGTTATAAAATTGTCTATAGCAGTTTCATTGTGTAGTCTAAAACGTATCTCTCTTGACTCAAGAGGTGGTTTGCTAATGTTAGTTAAGAGAAATGTGGGGTAATGGTCTGTAGTGCTATCTGTGATTATACCTGAAGTAAGCGGAGAGGTTATGTTTGTCCAGATGTGATCTAGAGTCGTGGCAGTGCTATCAGTGATTCTAGTAGGTCTAGTGATTAAGGGTATGAGGAAGCAGGAATTCATACAGTTGAGGAAGCTAACAGCAGTAGGGTGTTCTGGCTCGCAGAGGTCAATATTAAAGTCCCCTGCGATAATTAGGTGGTTTTTGTTCAGTCTGTTATCAAGTATTAGATTTCTAAGGTTTGAGTTGAATTCGGACACATCAGTGTTAGGAATTCTATAAACTGCACCCACAGACAGGACAGACTCGGCACCCTTGACTCTGAAGCTGGCGAAGATATACTCCCCATAGCAGTCTCTAGTTCTAATTTCTTTTAAGCATGTTAGTTCTTGGTGGTAGTAAAGAGCAGTGCCACCACCTCTCTGAAGTTGACGACAGTTGTGAATTGCTGAGTAGTTAGGCATGTTAAAGAGTTGAGTAGTATCCTCTTTCAACCATGTTTCAGTAAGTATAATAAAAGAGAATTTGTTGTCAATAGCTTCAATCAAGGCACTAACATCATCGAAGTGTTTACCTAGGGATCTAACGTTCAAATTGATTACAGAGATATTGTGATTATGAGTTAATACATTGTTTACATCATGTGCTGCAAAATATCTGCAATTTAGATCATTAAAGTGATTATTGTCATAGATAGTGGATAAGAGGTTAAGTTCTGGGTCTATACTTGTCTGCATAAAAAAAGCTGATTGCAGGAAAAACAAGGAAAGAAAGGCAAATTACAAGGTAGAAATAAGCTATAAAATAGGGAAAAAAATGTACACAACACTGTACAAAACAAACACAAAAGGGGCTTACAGGGGTACAATGGAGTAAGGGAGTATGGCTAGGCTAGGCAACCTAGGTAATAAATGAGATTAAAGAAAAAACATATAAACATGGACTATACAAAACACAAGATATAGAAATACAAAACAAAAATATAAACAAGACTAAGCAATACAAAAACAAATTGAGCAAAAATGAAAAATGAGGTAGATTGCTTACAAGTACTCTCAGGTACACTGTAAGTAACAATTTGCAATTTGAGATGCAGGCAAAGCCAGGGGTACAATGGAGTAAGGGAGCATGGCGAGGCTAGGCAACCTTTGTAAACACACATTAATGACACTATAAAGAGACACGTCGAACACTGTTTATGTAGAACAGATGTAAATATGTGTATTTATGTTTGTAGGTTAGATTATCATTTTAAAACCCCTACAATCAACTTAGATTGTTCAATAAATCACTGAAATATATGTTTAACAGATTCCTAACCCTGTCCATGGAGGACAGAAGAAAATGTATTTATGCTTGTTAGCACTGTAAGTGTGTGGCCACGTCTGTAGTAGAAAATAATTAAAACTTTTTTTATTGCTAACAGGAGAGGTATGGGGTCCACTACAGTCCACAGAACGGGAATGGGGGGTGGGTTGGGGTAACTGTCACTCAAAGGATTGGTATATGCTTTCACCCTGTTAATCCTTAACTCAACCTGACCCTTGGAAACTGTTAACATTACAAAACCCCCTTAAAAAATACATTCAAATTGTATACACTCAACATTCATAATGTATACCTGATAATTTTTAGCAAAACTTTTGTTACGTGTTGAATGTTTTCTATACAGTATTTTAATTTTATTTAAAAAAAATGTACTCCTCTAATATGAGGTTCCGATCGGTCCCCTTGTGTGAGAGAGAGACCCCTTGTGAAGCGTATTCCCCAGGCGAGAAACATACAAAGAGCAGTGATAAATGTTGAACAACAGTCTGGAACTCTTCCAGTTGGAATCCTTGCAAGTACATAGTAAGTTCTGTACGGGCACATAGCATTGTCATAGCAGGAAAGTGTCATCCCAGATCAGTGTAAACAGAAAAGAAAATACATGTTTAAAAAGTATATTCAGTGGTGGAAAATATATAGAAACAACTGTGTTGAATGTTGAAAAACAGCTTGGAACTTTATAAGACATATCAATGAACTATTGGGAGATATAAATGTTCATAAAACATTATTGGAACCTGGCGATTGGAGACAGATTTACTAGCTGTCTCGTTCACTTGAGTTTGGGCAGGGTTGGAGAATTGTCCGGTCGTCGCTTGTGTGGCGGTCTCCTACAATAACGATAAGTGCATTTGTATCTCATATGTGCTATAGTAGTGATCGGTCCCTGTGATAGTATTGGCAGTTTTAAAACTAAGTTTATTTATGGAACCCTTTGTGTCTGTGGTGTTTTGTGGTTTTGATTCATTCACTTAGTTTTCTGTAACACGTAGTCTTACCACATAAAATTTGTCTCCCATTTATAAAGTGTTGAAGTGTCAGAACCTTGAATTGTTAAAACCCTTATCACCTTTGTAATAACTGAGGAAGGGTAGAGTATTGTGGCGACATTAAGTCCCAGTTGGTGTGGATCCGATAGTCTATTTACTCCTAATATTTATGTTTGCTGAGAAGTATCCCTCTGTATTTCAACAACCCTAGTACATGACAGTGTGCCCCCATATTTAGTCAGTGTAAAATATCCTGTGTTGTTCAATAAAAACTCACTGTGAAGTTGTACCCCAAGGTTTATTTCTTGTCCCATGTTGAATAAGAGTTCTTGCTTTCGACTTATGTTTATGTCGAATATATCAAGATATCCCTCCCACTGTTTATAAGTCAGAACGGGTTTGTTGTTTGTGTTCTGAGGTACAAAGAGGAAGGCCGCAGGGAAGTTGAACCTCGAAATCATCGCAAGGTAAACGCATGGTAGGGTACAGCTTCCAATGATGTGCGTTACAATAAAAAGGACATTGTGTAAGGAGAACACATTTTCAATTTTAGATTTGTTTTTAAATTTTGTACATGGACATTTAAATATTAAATAAGCTGTTTACAACTCTTTTCACTCCATAAGTGGAATATACAGCAGTTATTTGGTGCCCATATATCAAGAAGCACTTCAATAAACTAAAAAAGATGCAAACCCCCATGCAACTAAATGGGTTCCAGAACTGAAAAACAAGAGCTATGATGAGAGACAAGAGGTGTTAAATGACTAAGCTTTAAGATCGTAGGAAGAAACATTATGATCACTAAATACAATTAGAAACAGAAATCAACATAACTGACGAACAGAAAGTCTTGAAACTTGCAACTTCAAGAACAAAGAGAACATTGATTCAAGCTATGGAAACAAAAGTGCAGAAAAAAATTACGAAGTTTTCTGTTGAAAACAGTGATTGACAGTTGGAATAAATAAGGTAGTGGATGCTAAAACAATCAATAGTTTCAAAGTGGCATATGACAGGAAGATGTGACATCATTCACCCTTTAACTACACAGAGGTAATTTCATGGGAACCGAAGAAAGACAAAATGTAACACAACCGTCCACCTCGGGCCTTTGTGCAACCTCAAAAGTCTTCTCGATTGAAAAGTAACAACCCTGGAGTGAAAAACAAACAAAACTCTGCACCGAATGAAGAACAATGGCGCCATGAACTATAGAACAACTGCCACCCACAAAGCCTCAACCTAAACTGATGTGACCCCTGGTGTGGCCAACCCTGGTGTGGCTGGTGTGTGGAGATAGATGACCAAAGGCAAACAACGATCCAAAAAGTCTCAAAGTGTGGCAGGGTACTCGATGCAAAGCACCAAAAGCCCCATCCCCCCAAATAAAATAAGACCTACACGGAAACCACTGACATTAACATGGGCACAGATCAGTTGGAAAGCTGGGTTCCAGAAAATGTAGCACAAAATTCTCACAAACTCCCTACCATGAAAAACAGAGAAGAGAAAGGTGCAAGTCACCACCGGACAAAGCTGGAAACAGTGAACTCCCAAAGATGTAAACACAACAACAGCCAACCCCCAGCAGCTTGGCCCCACAGATAAGCTGAAGCACATGCAGTACCTGGAGTGAGGTCCTTGAGAGGGATGATGACACAAAGGGGCAGACTCCTGAGCCTTCTCAGGGAAGAGAAACGTAACTGTAGGCAGAGGCATCATTATAGCAACCAGGTGGGTAGTCAGGGAGCCACCGGGAACCCCTCACAGAGAAGAATTAAATTGTAAAACTTTATAACCTTTTCTCATTACTTATAAAATAAGTTACCTGGGTTGATGTCTCTATCAGCAATCAGGTGGCGCCCTTGGGAGTGAGTGTAGGCAAGCTTGACTGCACTGCTGAGTGACGGTATGGCTGGGTTATAGTCAGCTAACTTAGGGGGCTCAGGGTTTATATATGCAAAACATGGTTCAAAGGTGTTTAAAGCTTCAGCTGAAGCATCAAATGCCTTGTCTTTACCCTCTGATATTAATTTCAGACAAATACGTTTCCTGTCTAATAATTTTGTACGTGACTGTACACAGCCAAGTTCCAGAGCTCGGTCAATGTCATCTGAACATTTTGTATACTGCTTCAGGTCATAAAGCACAACAGATCGTGACTCATAAGCTTGGGCCAATTCTTCATACTTGTCTTTGCCAGGGTTCTTAGGACTATCTGTGATTGTGTCTGGATGTGGCGCAGATAATATGGCCAAATTATAAGAGCTTAATGCCTGAACTAGATTATGAAGGCGGTAGGCTATGTCTCCCTGTCTACAGTGCACATAAGACTCATCTTTTGACTTGCTTGATGGGTGCAGAACTGGCGTTAGAGTTGCATGGGCTTCATCCAGGCTCCACAAATAGGAAAACATTTCCTCGGTTGTGTTTTCTGGCTTTATTATAGTCATCACTTCAGACATCTTGTTGCTTAATCTGCTTTTAAGCTTTCCAAATAGAATTTCAATATTTACTTGAGCCATGATGATGTTTCAAACTTCAAGAAAATATGGTTACCAGGGACCTGAAAATAAGGTATTCTGTTAACTTTGATTTAAAATTAATTGAATTTGTATGCAATATACAAAAAATAAGTGCTTTAAAGTATATGAAAAAGCTTTAAGAATTTATGGAACAAAATACTATGTACAATGTCACAAACTGAATCTTCAATTACCAGATGACTATTAAAAAAAAGAAAATTATCATCACTTCAAGCATCCTCTATAACCAATTAAGTAAAATGAGATGGAGAGGTGTAAAACATACAGCATGACGTTAACCCTTGCACTGCACATACTCAAATGTTTGACCAATTGTGTGCAAAGCCTGTAGGCCCAAATGGAATCTTACCATGGATACTAAAAGAGAGAGCAGAAGCACTGCACCTACCACTCTCAAAGGTATACAACATGTTACTGGTAACAGAACTGCCAAAAATTTGGAAGACGGCTAATGTAGACCTGATATGCAAGAAGGAAGACAGACAGGAGGAATTGAACAACACGCTAATGTCCCTAACTTCATCAATTGATGCTAACCTTGTAAGAAAAATCCCAGAGACCTAGACACATGTTTTTACATATCTCACAGGCAGCTATCCTAACTCTGTAGTCCTTTTGCCAGTCAGCCCGTCAGATATTACCCTTGACCAAAATGCGATCCAAATTAGCCTCTTCATTGACCTGACCAGAGAAAGGCCTTTGTTAATGTAAACCACAGCTACCTCTTACTTAAACTTCACCAATACGGTATCCAGGGCCTTGCTCTGAAATATATTCGTTCCTATCTCAGTGACAGACACCAATATGTAGCCATCCATAACATAACCTACCCCACTCAACTATAAACAGTAGGAGTGCCACAAGGCAATATATTAGGACCTCTCCTTTTTCTTAAAAACATCAATGATTTGAAAATGTTTCTAACATTCTTAAACCTATACCATTTGCTGACGATACTATCTTCATCTATTCTGACCCCAACCCACACACACATAATAATATTGTTAATAATGAATTAAAAAAAAGGCCACTCATGAATGTCAACCAACAAACTCACACTAAACATAGAAAAGACTTACTATATTTTATTTTGTAGTAAATCATGAAATAAAATTCAACTTCAGGTAGACAAATGTTACCATTAGCAATAAAAATGAGGGAAAGTTCCTTGTCCTATACATAGACAAGAGACTGAACTTCAGCATCCACATACAACACAACTAAAAAAGTCTCAAAAACGGTAGGTATATTTTCTAAAATCAGATATTATGTTCCCCACTCTGTTCTCCTCTCATTATACTACACACTAATCTATCCTTATCTTATATATGGTATCTGTGCATGGGGTTCAACCACTGCAAATTACCCCAAGACCATCATCACTCAGCAAAAATCTATCAGAACAATAACAAACTCTGTCTTCAGACAACATACAGCCCTCTGCTCTGATTAAGTCCCATAACATGCTAAACATACACTCACTCCACACATTCTCATGTGCTATTTACATGCACAAAACCTTGTTCCTAAATGCTAACCTTGATCTGAAATTTTTCTTTGATAGACGTAATAGAACCCATGAGCACCACACCAGAAAAAAGGTCTCTTTTATATTCCCAGAATCGAACTAAATATGTGACAACATTCCATGGAAATAAAAAGACCAACTCTTTAGAACTTACTCCCTGACTAATTAAAAAATAAAATCCAACCTATGACCTATCCAATAATTAAACCAAAAAGTACCAAGTTTCATCCTTGTAGTTTTTTCTACCTTGTGCTTCAAACTCACACTGTAAATTATGCTACCCAACTTCCCCAATATTAGTACTTAAGACTAAAGACTAAATAGACTAGTGTAAGCGCTTCTGTCAATTTATATTGTAGTTATTTGTTGATATAAACGCTTGCTCCTATGTACCTTTTCATCTTACATGATATGTTAAATATCATTTGGGTTGGTTTGGGACCAACCCAAAACGCTAAGCGTGTTAGTGGTTTCGAATGAATGTACAAATTCTAATCTAATGTAATCTCACAACCCACTGTACATTATTGTGAATAAATTATTATTATTATTATTATTATTATTATTATTATTATTATTATTATTATCATTATTATTATTATTATTATTATTTGGATACCATGCAAGGTGATGGAGAAAATTGTGAGAAATAAACAAATAGAACATCTGGAGAAAATATATTTGGTAATGCATCACTAGCATGGGTTCAGGGATTGAAAATCTTGCCTAATGTGCAATAGAATTTTATGACCAGGTGACAACAATTAGGCAAGAAAGAGAAGGATGAACAGACTGCATACTTATGTATTGCTGGAAAGTCTCTGATACAGTACCCCATGAGAAACTGGTGCATAAGTTGGAGATGTAGGAAGGAACTACAAGGAAGGTTCTCCAGTTGACGAAGAAGTACCTAAGCAACAGAAAACAGCAAGTCACTCTAAGGGGTAAGGTTTCAGAGTGGCGAGACGTCACTAGTAGATTTCCAAAGGGATTCAATACTTGGACCTATACTGCTCTATATATATAAACAATCTCCTGGAGGGAATAGACTCATTCCTATCACTGTTTGTTGATGATGTAAAAATTATGAGGATTGACACAAAAAGATGCCAAGAGGGTACAAGACGACCTGGGGCAAATTGATGGAATGGTCCAATAAATGGCTACTAGAGTTTAACTCATGAAAATATAAAGTAATGGAGCTAGGTGGAGGGAGTAAAAAGCCATACAAAAGGCACCGAATGGGAGACAAAGTCCTCTATGAAACCGACAGAGAAACACCTAGGAATTGATATCACACCGAACCTATTTCCTGAAGCCCACATAAAACTGATATCATGTGATGCATGCAAGACTGATTAACATCAGAATTGCCTTTAGAAATTTGTGTAAGGAATCCTTTAGCACTTCGTAGAGCACATATGAAAGACCAATACTAAAATATGCTGCTCCAGAATAGAGTCCATACTTTGTTAAGCAAAAGATGAAGTTGGAGAAGGCACAATGGTATGCCATTCGACTAGTTCCAGAACTACAAGGTATGAGTTATGTGGAATGGCTGTATGAATTGCTGCTCACCTCACTGGAAGACAGAAGAGTTAGAGGAGACATGATAACTACTTACAAAATTCTCAGGAATTGACAGGGTAGATAGACATATATTTAACAGGTTTCCACAAGGGGGCACAGGTGGAAACTGATTACCCTAATGAGCCAAATAAATTTTTGAATTTTTTTCAGTCCATCTCTCTATCCATGTATCTTTTTATCCACATATTCATCCATCTTCCCTATCCATCCATCTACTTATGAAAGTTATATATCCAACCATATATCCATCTGTGTATCATCTACCTAATCACCTCTCTATCCATATATCTGTCTGCATATCTATCCATCCCTGTAACTATACATATATCCATATATATAAACAGGATATTGGGGGAATGATACAGACAGAAATACTTGGGTAGAGATTTAGGTGAAAGTTTTGATGAGTGATGATATGCTGTATTGATATTCACAGTTGGTCAGAGGATAGTTGTGAAATGACGAATTAACACTATAATCGGTTAGGTTAATTTGGTGAGTTGTGATTAGTGCGTGTAAAAGTGTGAACGCAGTATTTTGTGTTTGAAATTGGGGAATGAGCGAACGTTTGTATACCTTAGAGACATCTAGTGAGCGTTATGTTTCTAACCAAGATGTGATTATCTACCCAATGTATGGTATTCAAACATGCAAAGGAGGGAAATCTGAGAAGCTCTGTATTCTTCTTAACATAGTGAGTAGAGTAAAGTACTGAACTTTGTAAGAATACTAGGAACAGCACTTATGCGCACAAGAGTTTCTAATATGACCAAGAACACCTTCTGGGTGAGAATAAGGTTTGTATTAAGAACTTGTGAAACCGAAAAGATATTTGTGATGAGAGAACGAGACGTGGAAGTCACATTACCTAATCTAAGATTTATTAAGTGGAAGGAGTACATGCTGAATAAACTTATACAGTAACAAAAAGATTTGCCTCACAAAGTACAGAAAGAGTATGATACAGGCAAGTTGTATAGAGATCTTGTGTAATGAGTCAGTGTATTCTTATTCAAAGAAGAACAGTGGAAAGGTGTGAAATTACGAAGACTAAAATAAGTAGAAACAAATAGTTGTGTTGTGAAAATTGTGTTCTGTGTAACAATATTCTGAAATGCACAGAGGATAGATGAATGTGAATTGTGAAGGAATACTAAGATAGGTTAAGGGGATGGATAAGTTGGGGTGAAAGAAGAGTGTGTCGGAATCCGGCACACACATAATAACATAGTATACCCTTTCAGTATTCCCTTAATGATAGAAAATGGGTGATCCTGTGACGTCAGAGACGTCACGTATATTTACAAAATATAATACTGTTTATACAACAGTCTTGTGTCTAAATTTAACAAAAAAGTACTCAATAAGACTGAATATAATTGCTAACACCAAAATGTAGCTTGACTCCCTTGTTAATGTAAATTTAAGTTCAGAAGTAGAACCAACAATAACATTGGTACACGGAAGGGAAGGGGCTTCACTCTTCTCTCTACAACAACAACAAAGTGGATGCTCCAGAAGTGTTGTGATACTAGTCGCCTTGGATAGACTTACTCTGCCCCAAGAAACTACCACGACAACACCACTACTATCACTAGAGCAATCTTGTATCCGGCTTACCAAGTATACTATATATTTGATTGATATGTGTACACACTTTTTTCATTTATGAGGTAGTCGGTTATGATGTATGGATAACACCCCACAAAAGTGCGTGTACCCCATTCAACACCCTCATATTCCATGTCATACCTGTAATTATATATTTAGGGAACTTTTAATAACTCCTTGTATCCCATACAGGTAAATTGTGATTTGGAATAGCAAGAAGCTGAGCAGACAGTTGAGCCTTACACATAAT